AAAACTTCAGTTAGTCAGCACTCGGCAAATCGCTATTCAAATTAAATTACCTAATTAAATTAATATTGGAAAAAAATTGCGTAAAATACGTCGGTACGCCGGAAAACCGTTTTCTAGCCGCCGCTGTCACGCAAAATGAAGAAATATTGGTTATTACGCCCTCACTTGCTGTAAGTCTCATTGATATTACGAGTATGTAGATGTAGATCTATTACCTTTCGTGGTTAAAGGTCTCTTAAAAATGTTACGCAAATTTTTCTAGCCGTTATGTTTGCATGGGTCTAAAAGTTGCGATAGGGATAGATGGTAGATAAGTATACAGGGTGGTCATTTTTAGCGCCTGACGATGGGATCTCTTATGTTGAAAACTAATGCTCAAATTGGGGTACAATGCGAATCAATAATTGAAGTCACTTGTAGGATAACTCTTTTAGTTTCAATAATTAAAAAGAACTGAATTCTGCGTTTTAATAATTCTGTCTTAAAAAAACGAGTATACCTACTTGAGAAATGGGCGGTTTAGACTATGACATTATTTTTTGAATTTTTTTTTAACGTAAGGGTCACATTGAATTTTTAGATTTTTTTAAGAATTTACTATGGATTTCTATACATATTACATTTTAAATATAACACTTAATTATTCAATTGTCACGAGAGTGTCTTTTAGACAAAAATCGGTTTCGGATAGATTACTACTTTTAACCATTGAATAATAAATCTGAATTATTATTCAATGTTTTAACTTAATAATAATCTATAATAAAATCTTGCCAAAAGATCGCTTTACTACATTTAAAACGACATTTTTATTAATTATTTTGATTAAGTGTAAACTACCAAAGCAAATCAGCAAATGAGTTTGACTGCAATTTCTAAAGCACTGTCGTGAAAATTGAATAAGGTATGGTAAAATCAAAGTAGTAGGTAAATTAAAAGCTTGCCATAGCGTCAGCGAAAATAACTCTGATGAAAGATCATAAGATGAAATTTGGCGACCCTAAAGCAAAAAAAGTTCTATGCCTTTCTGGCCATATTTATCAAATTCCTCTGTAAAAGTCTTCTAAACGTCCCACTTCGACTCGGTTTTCGTGCAAACAGAAATAAAATAGAATCCATATCCATGACAGCTGCGAAAAAAGAGCACTCTGTATAATGACAAATCATAAAATAATAATAATTATTATTACTTTGGTATTTATTATATAGTTTAATTAAAAATGATTTGCGTTCCTTATATGGCGGATAATTGGCTAACTGCCTTATTGGTTCAAAGTAATCAGAAAAAGATATAGCAGACAGTATACATTTGGGAAAAAATAGTGTCACAATGGGCAGCGTTAAAATGCCGTCGTTTAATGTTGTACGGTGTATTATTTTGAATTTTTATTGAAGTCGGCATTTTTTATTGCATACACCCCCCTCACTCGGAGCCTCTGACTACGGTCCTGGATCTAGCAACCACACTATTCTAATTTAAACTATTGGCAAGCGAACTTTAATAGACTAATTTTTTCTTGCTTGTTTAAACAAGTAATTTTCCATGCGTTGCCCAGTACTTTCCAAAAGACCATAGCTATGTGAGGTAAGGTAAGTTAAAATGTTGGCACTGTGCATGCGCACACCTGATTTTTACAAAATGCGCTGGTTACCTTTACTAGCAGCACCTGTAGTTAAAATTTTAAACACGTAAAAACCATCTATAAACCTCTCGTCAGGAAAGATTGGCAGTCACAGAACACTTGATCCCGGTCTACAATGTATGTTTTTCTAAAGATGTGAGCGACTTCCGGGATAGGTAGTATCGTGTCAATGTTGAACAAAAAGACTTTTCGTTCAACATTGGCACGATCCTATTCCGGAAGTCGCTCGCATCTTAAGAAAAACATAGATTGTAGATTGACACAAGGTGTGCTGTGACCGGCAATCTTTTCTGGCGAGAGTTATAGTTAAAATTTCAAAGGAATATCTGCGAAAGTTATCGGACCTAACGTCATTTTTTATATGAAACACCCCGTATATTTTATAGATATGCATATTAAATTGTCGTACAAAAAATGTAACACTAAAAAGATTCACAAAAGGTCTTTTTTTTTAATCATTTGAGCCTTTATTTATTCTTTTTTTTTTACTTCTATTTACTTATGTAAAATGTATATAGTGTTATTTAGTGTCATATTTTGACAAATGTTTTAGAATATATAGAGTGTGTCATATAAACAAAAGAGGTTAGGTGCGATAACTTTTTTGCTGACCCCGTATACTTATTTTGAAAACGGAATATTATTCAACAATCATTATAAAGAAACTTTTGTAACCAGCATGTTTCTGTCTCTCTTAAGCTAAAGAAATATAGGGCCATTCTGAAATTAATATTTTCGCCCTAAGCGAGCGGTTACCATTCTAAGTTTCACCAAAACAAGACCACATGACGCCTGTATTACTTTTTTGATCTACCCTATAAGTGTCGAAAACACCCTGTACATAACCGCAACAGTGGGTCGGGGCATGATTCAGTTTTTGGTATATTCAGACCTACTCTCCTCGCGCACTCCGTTTTTGAAATATTCGCACTTAAAATCTTCACGTGAATAGGTATGTCTCGTCCAGACGATTCATATTCGAAAATGAATGTGAAAATTCGATTTTTAACAGTAAAATTTGTTTGACTGAAAATGTTGTACTATGTACCCTAATCTATTTTAAATTCGAAACTCAAAATTCTTGAGTTTGAAGGAGGTTCCACATGTTTTACCTTTTTTTCAAATTAAAAAGCCCAAAAATTGCATATTAGCAAATTCTAAAATTCGATTTTAACCAAAAACATTGCTTGAGAGCTTGAGAATCGAATTTCAACAGAAAGAATTTTTTATGAAAAGGTGTTTGTGGATACATATTTATCCTAACGAGGATTCATTTAACAATCAGGTGGTCGCAAACGTCTATCATAATTTTTCTTGAGACAAAATATACAGGGTGCGTCAAAAAGTAAATTTTGATACCAAGGTTGATTTTTTTGAAATGGAACTGTATGTTTTAAAATCCATTTTCGAAATATTTTTATTATGCATAGAATTTGACACATAATTCGAAAAAGGGATTTAAAAAATACTGGTCCATTTCTGCTCCATCTTTGGTGCATAACATGCACAAGAAAAATTATGATAGACATGTGGCGAAATGTGACATTACGATCTATCCTATCGCATACTGAACCTTTCGGTATATCTGCAGGTTTAACTGGAATTTACGTGACCCTCTTATCTCGAACACACTGTACAGTCATGAGTCACAAACTATGCGTACTATGCAACAATTTATCATTTAGTACGCATATTTAGTTTATTTATTTGAAATCAAGCGGTACTTTAATACTATGCGGTCAAAAATGAATTGCTGACGAGTCACCTTTGGAATTTTTGTTTACACGGGAAATCGTACTGAACTTAAACTTCCAAAGGCGACTCGACGACCACTTTCTTGATCGCCCGTTAGTACAGACGAACAAAATAATGACATTAAATAACTCATTCTTAAACATTTTTGATGATTTTCTCAAAAATTGTCATTTCTCTTTGGTTTTGGCTTAAATTTTTCACTTTTCGTGTATACCTACTTAAATATGTTATTATACCTGTCTTAATTTTTCAGAATTTCCGGTTTTTTGATTTTTGAATTTTTATCTTTTCGAATTTTTTCATTTTCAAATGTTGATTTTTAAACAGAAATGCCGCCACATTTGTTGCCTACCTCCCTTTCACAATGTACTTGTTTACAGCGATTCCTGATTGCTGATGTCACTCACACACTATATTTTGGAAGAACCGTACTTATCACTAAGTTCATTTTAATTCCGTGCCATTAATTGGCCTGCATTGAAATTGATGTTAATAAGCAAAGTATATTCTTCTTCAATAGAAATACAATAACTTGGTACATAATTGGCATAAATTTATTTGTCAACATATTTAATGTTTCTTGGTGATTTCATTATGGCGTGATAGATATTTTAGTAACAGCGTTCGTTAACATCCAATTCCTACGTTTCAGGTTTCTTCCTTCAGAAAGCCATCTGTCTAAATAAATATCAGATTTCTCCATCCTGACGAGAATTGCATTGTGTGGCATTTGCTGCATGTTTGTAATAGTAGACGAAAATCTAATAAAAGTAATTACAAAACGCATCATTTCATTTTCCTTTTCAAACACATGATATCTACCTGTCACTTCGTACAGGTCAATGTTCTGTAACCGCTATATTTTGCTAATAAAATTACGTAAGCGATGAAAGTTTGGTTTTTGCCATTACACAAAGAAGTCATTGATCAGTGTTAAGAAATCCCAGAAACTTTAGGGACTTGCAAAGATCAAGAATCCACAAACTGTTTTAAGGGAACCATTGTCCTTTCGAGATTCAATGCGGTGAGGGGGTGTAATGAGACTTTGATGGCACTGAAAAAACGACGCGCTCATTATTTCCTGAAAAAATGGTACGATGTTATTTATCTGCCATGAATGCGAATGATCTCTTGGACATGTATTGCTTTTTCATTGGACAAAAAGGCAAACATAACTGACCCAAAATAATTATGTTTCTGGGACCAAAAATTATTCCCACTATTTTTTTGCTTATATAATCATTCTAGCAAGAAAAACAACATCGCGTGTACTTTGGAAATTGTACCTTTTTTTATTACTTTCACCTTGAACAATGCTGTTACGAACAAAATGGAGGTCACATGTATAGTCATGTATCAAGAATTTAGATCACTTATGCTTGTAAAACAACTGAGCTACAATAATGTACCTACATTTTTTTCTCATCTAATCACTCTCCTTGTCGCTTCTACCTCGCTTTTAACCGACCTTTACAAAATGCACTTAGCTTTAAGTAATTGGTTATGGGCAATTAGATCACTCTCTTATTATGCAAACGGTGGTGTCTTACGTAACTTACACTAAATTCTAACAAAAGAGGAATAATTTGTTCGTTGTTAAAGGAGACGTGTGAATCGAGACCGACTTTCGATTATTTTTGTTGTGTTCGTTAACGAGTGAAAATGAAAAATAAAAATAAAATCAGAATGGACAATAAATTGGCGGCGGAACAGCTAATAATTTCGGAACAGAGCAACCAAGGCCTGACCGGTAAACCGCCGCTCGATAAGAAAATCGCCGATAAAGACAGGAAGGGCGATAAGAAGATAAAGAAGGGTAAGTCTCTTTTTTTATCGGAATTTGCGGTGCACCGCAAGAAGCTATTTTAGAGCCGTTACTATTTTTGTTTTTTTTTCTGTGCTAATAGTACGATTTAAATTGCGGTACGGCAGGTGTTTTTAATGTTTCCGGCATTTGCATCCGGTTATGCAATTAATTGCCGCTTCATTATGCGAAGGAAAGTATTCCTTTTTCCTTTAGTAGAGTGCTCCGTGGCAGAAATTATGACTTCCGTGGGGGTTTTGGTGTCACAAGCTGAAATTCACAAAAAATGAAAGGTCATCATATACTGATTCTAAATGTCAAGGCCGTCCAAAATCGGTCCATGCATTAGGGCACAAAACGCGAAAAACGAGTTAAGCACATGTACGGAAAGACGAAAAAATAACGAATTTTTTGGTATATAAATCAAAATTTTCTTTGTACAGTGAAAGTAATAATAAATTATCAAACGTTTCCAATTACATTGGGTCTTACGGAAGAATTAAACTTCAAACGCGATTATCTCAGTTCGATATCCCTAAAAATTTGACAAATTTTGAGCAACTTTTGCGTTTACATCGTATTATTTAATAAATGGAAGCCTATATCAAAAAGTTTTACTCTTAAAAAAAGTTTCGCTCATCGTTTATCTTTACATTGCACTGAGAATTATAATTTTATGTGCAATAGTAACCAAAATATGTAATTAAAAGTAAAACAACGAACTTTTTACTCACTTACAAACGAAGCGCTTTCGCTCCGGTGAATACAATCCATCTCTACATTTCCCGTAGCTCCATTTCGCTCTTACTCATAGGTACGTTCTCGACACGGGTATACCAAAGCTTTGCCAATATAATTGATACAGATAATTATTAATTACATAAATCAATGAATGTGAAACTCAAAAAGAGACCAAACCATAATTTTAAGAAACATAAAAAAAATTGTAGATACAGAACATCGCCTTATACTTACAACCCCGGGTAACTTTTTAAATGTGTCATACTAAATGATATGCACTTAATAACAAAACAATAATACCCTAAACCATTGAATTTATAACTATCAGTGAGAATTTAGAACAGTTAAATTGTTAGGAATTGGCCGCAATGTGATGAAAATGGGCAAAAGTTAGCCATAAGTTGCCACCAACAGAATACTCACTGTTTAAGGGTGTGTTTTTAAATCAAAATATGGCACCCTGTCCAAAATTGCCCCCCACAATGAATAGTACTTATATTAGTAGAAAAAGCGAACTTTTGCCCATTTTCATCACATTGCGGCCAATTCCTAACAATTTAACTGTTCTAAATTCTCACTGAATGTATAAAGGGTAAGTTATGCTCCAGCATGGTCCAAAGATCGTGCAAAATTCTACTGACATCACATCTAAGAGCACGGCGATTCTGAATGCTCAGTTGACGAAAAGGTTGTAAATAAATGGAATCAAATTTTTTTCTATTTGTCATTCTTTTAATGCACTTACCTAGGAAAAGAAATCACATTAGTGCTACGTGTTAGTTTAAGGTATTATTGTTTTGTTATTAAGTGCATATCATTTAGTATGACACATTTAAAAAGTTACCCGGGGTTGTAAGTATAAGGCGATGTTCTGTATCTACAATTTTTTTTATGTTTCTTAAAATTATGGTTTGGTCTCTTTTTGAGTTTCACATTCATTGATTTATGTAATTAATAATTATCTGTATCAATTATATTGGCAAAGCTTTGGTATACCCGTGTCGAGAACGTACCTATGAGTAAGAGCGAAATGGAGCTACGGGAAATGTAGAGATGGATTGTATTCACCGGAGCGAAAGCGCTTCGTTTGTAAGTGAGTAAAAAGTTCGTTGTTTTACTTTTAATTACATATTTTGGTTACTATTGCACATAAAATTATAATTCTCAGTGCAATGTAAAGATAAACGATGAGCGAAACTTTTTTTAAGAGTAAAACTTTTTGATATAGGCTTCCGTTTATTAAATAATACGATGTAAACGCAAAAGTTGCTCAAAATTTGTCAAATTTTTAGGGATATCGAACTGAGATAATCGCGTTTGAAGTTTAATTCTTCCGTAAGACCCAATGTAATTGGAAACGTTTGATAATTTATTATTACTTTCACTGTACAAAGAAAATTTTGATTTATATACCAAAAAATTCGTTATTTTTTCGTCTTTCCGTACATGTGCTTAACTCGTTTTTCGCGTTTTGTGCCCTAATGCATGGACCGATTTTGGACGGCCTTGACATTTAGAATCAGTATATGATGACCTTTCATTTTTTGTGAATTTCAGCTTGTGACACCAAAACCCCCACGGAAGTCATTTCTAGACGACTTTCTTTGCAACGAGCACTCTACTATTTATTTGCAGAGTACTTTCATTTGGAATTGGTAAACGGATAGAAAATTGCATACTGCTCGATAAATTACAACGGGGGGAGAAGTTCACCAATAACTATAGCATAGCAATGATGTGCTTCTCTTGGTTATGCATAACCCGTATCTTCTTTATTTATTGTATCTACATTTTATTTATTTTTATTTCCATTCGAAAAAATTAAATACCTCGCGTACAATTTATAATTTTGTATCTTGGCAGTTGGCACATCACTTAACCGGCTTCTTTTGTTTTTGTTTTTTTTGTCCCGGATCCAATCACTAGGGCTCTATGAACCAAGTATAAAAAATAAAACGCAATTATGGCTATGGTTTATAATGAAAAAGTTAGTGAGAATTAGAGGCGTAAAATTCAAGGTGTTATGACGTTTTGTTTGCGAGCTCGGAGCGAGCGAGGACCCTCGTGTGTTAGCAAACATTAATTAAGCATTAGGTTTGTTCATGATTGTCTAGTAAAAAACAGCGTTTTATTGTATTCAATGTTTTTTAATCAAAAATAACTTCGAAAAGTATTCGTTAAACATTTTGCTACGTGATAGAATAAACCATTAGTACGCATAATATTGAAGGATTACCTCCATGCAAAGAGTACAACGTTATAGGTATACTCTTTGCTCCATATTAAGAATTAGTTTTAGTAAAAGTTTGGATTTGGCATTACCTAACTCTAAAAAATTATTATTGGTCCCTTTCAGTGTGTACAGGGTGTCCCGTTTCAGACACTTTTATAGGGCCTATTTGTATTTGTCGAGGTATTTGTTAGTTCCATAAAAAAAGTAATACATATAGGCGCCGCCGTGTGCTCTTTTTGGGTCAAATTTAAAATGGTAAAATCAAATTTTGAAAATATTCGCTCCATTAAGACATAGACGGGGGGGAAAAAAATTGTCAATTTTCTTAGTTACAGATATAGGTACAAAAAAACTCCAGAAAAGTACAGGACTAAAAATGAAACACTATATTTTAATGTAAAATTAGCATACTAAATTCTCTGTTCAAAAATATAACGCAATACGAGACGCAACAGGAATATTAAAAAATTCTAAGATTAAAAAATGAAAAAGATTTTTAAATGTTTAAACATATTTTTTGAATCAATATTGAAATTTTTTTAATGTTTCTATAGCGCGTTCGCACCTCCAAATTCAGTATGGTGCTTATGGACATACAGTACATGCTTGCCAAACGTGACAATGACAGCACAAGGAGATTATGTTTTGTTTTAATACAATCACATGTCAATTTGACATCAATGCGGTTAGAAACAAGGATAGTATTATCGAAGAATGACTCAAACTAGTAAGAGAGGCAATTAGTCCATAAGACCCCATACTGAATCTGGAGGTGCGAACGCGCTATAGTGGTGTATTTTTGAAAAGAGAATTTGATATGCTGTCTTTTTACTTTAAATCATACAGAGCTTTAAAAAAATGAGGTTAGGTACAATAACTTTTTTACTTGACACTGTATATTTATTTTGAAATCGGCCGATTCTTCAACAATTATTATAAAGAAACATTTGTAATAAACAAAAATATGGGGTCATTCTGAAATTGATATATTTTTAAATCTCCCGTATCTATATCGAATGTTTTGATTTAGATTTTACCATCTTAAGTTGGATCCAGAGAGAACACATGACGTCTACTATTACTTTTTTGATAGCACTAACAAATCCGGAGATATCCTATTTATAAAGGTGACGAAAATGGATCTGTTTAACAGAAGCTTAAATGGTAACGTTTTGTAGCTGCCAAAAAAAGTTTTTTAGCGCATTTCCACAAAAATAAAAAAAAAATGCGCTATTGTGGCCACTTTGTCCGACCGTCCGTCCGCTCGTTTTGCGACGCTACTAGTTCTTTATCTTAAGAGCTATTGTTCTACTTTTTTCGCTATTTGGTTCGTTATAGTGTCGTATCTTGCACCAAGGAAGGAATTTTTTCTGTACCGCTTACAAAAAAAGTTATTGTAAAAAATCAAAAAACCGTTTTTTACATGTTCCATAATTTTACACTTTTGTCGTTTATTAACGATCCTAGAGATCGTTTATAATTTTGCATTGCTATCTGTCGTCTGCCTGTTGGTCTGTCCGTCTGTTCCTTTGTCTGTCTGTCCATCTATCTGTCCGTGTGAACGATAACTTTGTTTAGAAATGTTCGATCGCTTTTACATCTCCGTTAGTTATAAACTGAATTGCATGAAATTCAATATGGGCATAGCTTTAGCCATATAATACGCAATGCCAAAAGTTGAATCGAATCGATTCAACATTCACAGTGCCCTTTTCGCATCTCGACCATTTATAAACCGAATTGCAAACTTTTTTACTTATAAAAGTATTTGAATGAAACTTGATACATAGGCACTTGGGATAAAGGAAAATCAAACGCCAGTTTCAAAATTTGGTTTTGCGCATGCGCAGTGGCAACTTTTTTATCTATGGAGCCATTTAAGTGAAATTTGATACTTAGGTTCTTGGAACAAAGGAAAATCTAACATTAGTTTTAAAATTTAGGTTTGCGCATGCGCAGTTCCAACTTTCTTATTTAGAAAAGCATTGAAATGAAATTCTTCTCATAAACTGAAATTGAAGTAGCACGTCAACAATGG